GACGCTTAGAACAAAGACGAATCAAATGTGTCTTGCCAAAAAATGCGAAAATCAACTCTGTTCCTGCGAAATAGAAAGTAAATGAGTCATGTGTTTACCCGAAAATTGAGCTTTTAATATCCAATCAAAACATATATTTAGAATAAAATTGCGATAGCATTTGAAAAAACATTTAAATGTTGTTGGATTGCAAAACGGATCATGCTCGACTGATAGTTTTGATCAAACTAACGTATCAATCAAATACTTGCAAATTTAGTCATTTGATGCGACTGCAACTAATTCATTGTCCGTCTTGGTAGACGCTTATCGCGATATTTTAAGTATTCATGGCTGGTCGCTCCGGCCAACTCCGATAGACTAAACGTTTCCAACTTCCACGGGTTTCTTGCCAAGTCATTTGATATCAGGGCATAAACATGAACCGCTGACATCGAGCGTTCAAACCATTGGTTAAATTGGTATGCCAGGTACTTGTCACCGAGATTTCTTACGGTTTTGTGTGTAGACATTCGTGCAGTAAGCAATATAGCTGCCACTCTTGCGGGGCCGACAGCCTTGGTAAGCATATCAACCAGCGACAGTGCATCTTCAGGATACCGTTTATTGAATTCAAGGTGATAATTGAGCCAAAATTGGAAACGAATTTCGTTCTCCACTTCATTGAGAAAGATGGGAATGACGCCATCATTCTTTGCAAACGCCTTCACGACCACGAATGGGCGAATTTTTTGGGACAGCATAACTTGAAAAACGATTGCTAAATATTTCGACGCCCTGACGTTTCCGCTATTTTTGGGGTAGACCAAAATTTCCAGTAATTGTGGCGTTCTGTAGTGTAGAATGAGATACTTCAGTTCACATACACGAGGATTCCGATTATACTCAGCTTGGTTACTAGAGGATAGATATGCGAGCCACTTGTCAAAATTCACGCCAAAGAAGTTGGTGGTATCAATTTGGCTTAGCACTTTGGATTGTTTGATACTAACATCTTTTCACCAACGATTGCGCAGTTCGATGGCGAGTTCTCGAGTACTGATATCCGCGATCCCATTTTTGAATATGGTATCCAAGCGCTCCGCAGTTAATCCAGCTGCCATAGCCTTATAAATCGACTGAAATGCATCCTTTGACTGTACATCAGATTGACATACAAGGTAGGCCCACTGAATCCAATTTTTGTCGGCCAGAATGTTTACGGAACTATCTTGCGGATGAAAGATTCCTATTAGAGCTTCTGATGTCACCCCCTTGTTTATTAGATCCGTGGTCTCACCCCACGAAATAATTTTTTCCTGGGCGTTCTTGATTGCCAAAACTTTTTCCATGAACTCGAGGATTGTCGAACTA